TATTTATTAATATACTATAGTATTTCTAAAAATTCTAAAGATTTTTCTATTTGATAAAATAAAAAAGAAGTACGAGAAACTTTTAAATAAATAATTACGATAATCAATAATGTACCGATATTTGGATAAAGTAGGTCGAATTCCGACGGGTACGGGAAGAATCGGGCCTTGATCTTGACCGGATCCTGGAGTTTGGGATCCGCAGCTGGAATCTTTGGGATCCGGCAAAGTAGGGAAACCGTAATCTTTAGTAGAGGGATATTCCAATAATTCGAAAACCGCCAGAAGTTCGCCAGCCCTCGAGGCTCCTCTGCTAACATCATACCATTCCAAAGACGGTGGATATTGCGGAGGAATGTAAGACTCGGAGGCAAGTTTGACATGAGGTCGCGCAATTGCCCGACCGATGTACTCTGATTTTCCCTGAAATCGTAAAAAGAAATTTTTATGTGTTTAAATGGAGAATTTATTGATCAACCGTGTGGCTTCTCTATGAGGATGCGAGGAAACTGTGTGAAGGAGAACATTTATTATCTAACTTAACAGATTTAAATTTGATTAAAATATTCAAGGCACTATGAAGAAGTGCAAAATGGTGAAATCTTGGGAGAGAAGGAGTAGATATTTAATATAATTTCTGCAAATTCTATAAAGTAATTATTCTAAGTAAGTAATTAAAACAAAACTATTTGAATTATTAAAGTGAATTCAAATTTTTAAATTTGATGTTAATTTATAACAAATAATAAATTTTTAAGAAATTTATATTTATTAATCAATAGTACACATACGTTACAATAAAATTTACATAAAATAACGATATGAAGAAATCTTTTTCATCGTTGTTTGTAAGAAACGGCTTAGATTGTTGCGAATTTAAATTATAGAAACTGCACAGTAATAAACACTTTTGTGGAATAGAAACAATTTCAACACAAGAAATAATTATAAAAATAATTATAAAGTTATGAATATAAATTCTTTCAACAAATTCTAAATAGATAAAGGTTTGTAGATATTCTTCCGAAATTAATGTATATTTACTATTATAAAAATATTGTTATCGATATATATATTCTTTCCAATAACAACATAGATTCGTTTAAATATATTTTGTGACTAAAATACAAATATTGATAGGTAGAGATATATTTATTTACCACAACAGCATGAAACCAAGTAAGGTAAAGGGAAGTCATATGCGTCATTTGCGGTTGTGCGGTTGTGTAGCTAGAAGTGACTTTCGTCAATTATCGCAGCAATTTCATGACTTGGAAACTTGCAGTCTTCGAAATTCCGAGTTTGCGAATTCTGATATTGCGCAAGTTTATCTATATCCTAACATATAAATAGAGTGCCATGCCGAGCGTATATTGTGTGTGTTTCCGATGTGGGTGTCGTGTGACGTGCGTCGTGTTATTCGGCATCGTATAAATGTCAATATGTTTTATACAAACTGTCAAAGCAGAGCCCTCATGCAGTGTTATGTCCATAGCTACAATATGACTCTGTAAAAAAAACGATTACGAAATCATAGAAGCGATCATTGTTTTCAGTAACGTTTTACGCCTATATCATCAAATTGACGGTAATCAAAAATTGAATCTAAATTTGTAATTAAAATTATATATTTTTCATCGATTTATGCGTTGAATATCTTTTATTTTGGACATTAATCGCATATAAAATAAAATTTATATATTTATTTGTTCAAGAGCTATTTGACGACTCAAAATAATAATCACTTAGTGAATTTGTTAAATGCATAATTACTTTACATGCGTGATTACTTTACAATAAAAAATTCACTAAGTGATTATTACTTCAAATAATTAGCTTTTGAACAAATAGACAGTAAACTTCAGTTTAAAAATAATACGTAAAAATTGTGTTAAGATAGAAAGAATGAGGATAATATAATTAAATAAAGAGATCATTTGACTTACCACTTTATCCTGATCAAATAGCTCGATGACGATGGAGGGTGGATCTTTCTTGATTTCGTCAGCGATGCCATAGATTAAGATATCGTCAAACAGCAGCAATTCGTCCCATGTTGGACTGAGGGTCTCGTCGATCACCTGAGTGCACTTGCAAAACTCACCACAGATAACCCTCGCAAATGGATCCGAGAGACCAGACGCATCGCTGCCGATCAGCGATCTCGCTTGATACATGTGAGCTCTTAATTGAAATTTCTGGCGAGCAATTTAGAACAGCAGAGTTACGCATTTATTTGACGAACTGTGCAGAAATATACGGAAGAAACACATACGTGTTTTTGGACATAGTGAATTACGGTGGGCGGCAAAGCGCGAGGCCTGTCTATGTTCCTTAATTCATGATTGACCTCGTATCCCTTCGGTAAACCTTGAATGAAGTACTTCTTGTGCTTCAATATTCCTAGCCACATATAGATCTGTAATTTCGTTTGGATCGCCCACCCTGAGGGTCCGAATCTTTTTTTACCTGGAAGCTATACATGGGTTCCACTCGAGATGCGAAAATAGCGTAAAATTGAATGCTAACATGTATATGTATATTCTCTAGGATTCTTATTTTACATTTCTTTCATTTTATCCGTATATTATAAAATGTCTCAAAATAAATATTGCAACATTTACAAAATAAATAGTACAATAATCGCTTGAGACACAAATCGCACACAGATATTTCCAGCGTATAATTACATTTTACAGAAAGATTTAAATTTAGATAAAAGAATTAATTTTTTAAAACTTAATTCTTTTTAGTTTTGTCACTTTTATAAGTAAAATAGCGTAAAATTGAATGCTAACATACATATATTCTCTAGGATTTTTATTTTACATTTCTTTCATTTTATCCGTATATTATAAAATGTCTCAAAATAAATATTGCAACATTTATAAAATAAATAATACAATAATCGCGTGAGATACAAATCGCATACAGATATTTCTAGCAATACAATATATAAAACTAAAAAGATCGACATTATTATCTTCAGTAATTTACCTTGAGAAACATAGTTTGTACTTTTCCGCAATGTCGGCCACATTCTTCGTCGACCACCGAGTAAATCAGTTCGCGACCTGGTATTCTCTGGTACGCCACTCGTCTTCCGGAACTGATCACCCAGACGAACACATCCGGTAGGGAGTCTTGCGGCTATAAAAAGATCAAGCAATTCCATTTGATAAAGTACATACTCGATCATACTCGTTTTTATCAAATAAAATTGCTTGAAATACTACTACTGACATCCTCGACGAGAAACTTCAATTTTTGCAGATAGTTGTGGGCTGTCTTCAGTCTTTCTTTGAAGCTGCTTTTAGTCACGAGGGCTTTGAGGTTGCGCGATAAAATCCCAATATTTTCCATCTCCCGCTGACATAATTTTGTACGTTCCTTGTCCAGCTTTGTTTTCCCAACGCCCGGACCGGTCAAGCTAGACTTGCTAATACTGACATATCGATTACAATTTGCGCTGAGTTCCTCGAGAGTAGACTTCAAAAGCTTTTCGCACGTCGAGTCTTCCAAGTGCGATTGAACCTCCGACAATCCTTCCTCCTAGGAAGTATAAAGAAAAGGTTTTATCGGTTTTATGTAAATCTTCTAAATCAAGAACGCTGTGATCTCTTCATTTCATTCAAATAATCATGTTTCCATTAAAAATCTGATTTCCTTAAGAACCTTTTGAAATGTCTGATTTAAATAAATATATTCCTCAAATGATTCTGATAAAATAAAACTGAATATTTAAAAATCATCGAATTTTGAATTATTAATAATGATTAATGTCAACTTATTCTGAAGTAATATAATTTTATTTTTAAAAAAATTCTTTATCTTTTTGCACATTAAATTTGATCGGGTGTTTAATAAATATTTATTATATTTTAAACGAATCAATTTTGATTACTTAATTTAATTAACAATTAATTTGACTACAGACACGCAGTTGTTTTTAAAAAACACCGTGTATAATCTAAGTTAAGGCGGTAGTTCTAATTAATAATTTTAAAGCCGCTTACCAGTTTATCGACAATCTTGCCGATAATATTACTGTTATACATTCGACGTCTATAATCTGGCCATATGCTTCTTACGTGAAGGCATGGCTTGTCGTCCCAGTATGGTAAGAAATAATAAATTTTATCGTGCGTCATTGGTTTACTAGCTGGTGTGGTACTTTGCCAAGATCCAGCGAGAATTTCTTGCAGCTCTTCCTCTTCTCCGCTTGTTCCGCTTTTCAATCCTCCATCGTACATCTATAACAAATAAAATGGGCTTTACCTTTTACAAAGAAAATCTCATAACGTCCTTACAATATTTTACAACAAAATCACATGACGTCCTTACAACATTTTTTTCGGCTTTTTCTTTCTTCCCTCTTAATAAAAAAAAAGTGTTTCCAAAGTATATTATTAAGATAAATTCTTCATTGAGAAAATTTTTAAGTTCATTTTCTAAAGAACTTATAAATTCATTTACCTTGAAACTTTCATTGTGACCGTCGAGAGCATTACCCGCGTTTCCGATCGATATTTCAAAGTACATCGGCTTATCGCCTAGCTTCTTGTCAATCATCGTAGCATCCATGATTGTGGCATATAGAAAAAATTCTTCATTCCTTGCGTAGGCGGTTTCGTTGACTGGCACAGTTAGCTCCACTTCAACTTCCGACGGTGCTATTTCCACGTTATCGGTAATCTCGGTTCGTATCGCTATCAAAAGCCTAAATAAAGAAACAAAAAATAGAAATTATAATTTAACATCTCATTCTACATTAACTTTTTCCTTTTGTATTTGATTTCATTTATTATTATTATTAATGAACTATTGATTTTACTAATTACTTCCGACTTGATTGTTTGTAATTAATATTCATTTAATTATGAGAAATACATAAAATAATGTGCCACATTAATTGTATCGTTTATAAGTGATATAATTTATAACTATTTCATTATATATTATACTAAAATGCTGCACAACCTCGCTCTATATGAAATTCCCTCGCCCAGGCCAGTGTTCAACGTTGAGTGCTCGTCAATGAGACTGTAATCTCTAATGCTACCATAAAGATGGATAAATGCCGGACCAAAGGTCGGCAAGAAGCCTTTTTCACCATCGTTGCTGATCTGCTTAAGGTCGACGAAGTGTGTACCGATGACGGTGGCGTGTACCGGGTCGTTATCGCATAATTGTATCTTTATTCTCTGACATAGAGGAGGAAACATCTCCGTAAAAACTATTTGTTCGTTCCATACTGGAGCATAGCTATGCCTCTTCACGCTTGTTTTCCCCTAAAGTGTCATAAATAGAAAAAATACTTGTCTTTGATATCTAGTACGCTCCATTTAACGTCACTACGTTTTAAGTATAGAATTAATCATTTTACACGGAAATATAAACTAGTATTTAACTTAGTTTTTAACTCTTAATGATTCTGTCAAAATTATGTGCTGTGGGGCAAACTATATTAATAATGTAAAACCATGTCGCGACGATATATATTGTATCTTTCCGAACTTGACGGCGCACCGATTTAACTTTGCCACGACGAAGTCAAAGGACTTATTTCTCTTTGCATATAATAGACTGTCTTTAACGGTACAATGATTAAGGAAAGTCGATTAAGAAGAGCTATTGTTATTTTCTCTAAGTTTTTCAAATTAAAAAATTATGCGATTGCGTATATTTACAAAAATTTTTTAAGTTTAGAAAATATTTATACAAATATTTGTACAAAGGAGATATATATAATTAATCCAAGAAGAGGATGAATTTGAAAATAAGATTCGTCAAATAGAACGAAAAAAAAACGGTTCTGTTAAAGTATCTAAAAATTTAACTGGTTGTGAAAATAATTTGGTTGAGCTAACAAAATAATTATGTAGGACGTTCAAATTAGTTGCCAAAATATCAAAACTTAAACATTAGCTTTTGATTTTTCTCCAATCCTTTTCTAATTATTTTGATAGTCCAACAACATTATTTTCAGATTTGTATTTACCTAAATTTTAACTTTAGCAAAATTATTCTTTCGGTATATATTTTAATAAACTTTTATATCATCTCAAATTATATCGTAAGATAGTAAGATCATTAAGATAAAAAATGCAGCGATAATTATCGCTAGATACTTTTAAATAATTTTATGTAATTGAGATTACTCAAGTATGAATGTATCGCTTACGCTGAGCCCGGCAAAGGACACTTGAACGTATGGATCCACCAGATCTTTCACTTCCCCCGTAAAAGCCTTCTTCACGTTCGCCATAATGCTGCTGTTCATTTTTGGCAAACCGTCAGCTCTGTAAACCTTCACCACGAATCTCGCGCGTTGTCTCTCGATTGGCACACCGTCCGGTAATAAGAGGTTGCCTTCGATGTCATCCTCGTCTTTTTCACTTTTCGGAGGAATTTTCACGGTATCACCCTTGCCAATAACGCTTATGTCACATTTCAGATAGCCTTTCGGTCCACCGGCAACGTCATCCGGATCAGTGAGGAGGGCCCATTTGTGATAGAATTGATGATCTAGGGATAAAATTGATATACACGTGTGTGTGATACGCGATGATTTATCAAAAGAAAAGATAAATTTACAATTAATTTGAGGAGAGTTTACCCTAAAGAGCGGCATGAGACACAATGTTACTTCGAGACAAAAGATTTAATATAAGAATTTCATATTTTGTATTCTTAGAAAAGAAAGTATTTTTAAATATATGAATATATATAAAGCTATGTTTGCGTGGAAAAATAATAGTGACAGAATGAAACGTTAAAAATATAACTTTGATATAAATATTGTAGCTTTTTCATACTATTGTTACCTTTATTTTATATTGTGCTTTCCGTTTTTCTGGGTAAACACTCTAGTTTTTAATTTACAACTCATAATTAAACATTTACTGAGAAATGGACAAAGAGAATATAATAAGCTAAGAATTGAAAAGAGAGATCTGCAAAAAGCCAATAAGCTTTGTTATTTTAGAACATAAAACAGATACAAAAATTACCATCTTTATTTCAATTTTCTGTCCTTGTAGATTTATATTTCTCTCGAGATTTAAATTAAGGACCCAGAGTAATATAAACAATTCCCTATCCTATACATCCAAACATTCACTTTTATTATTTCATTTGAAAATACTCGATAGATTTATCCGAAAACCACGCGCCTCTCACCCACGCATTAATAATTACAACTGTATTCGAAACACGTAGATTGATAAAGGTATCTATTAAAACACGTGCTGCAGATCGTTTTATGTTTTATCGAATATGCGCAATCATCGCTTGTGATGCATTAATTCGAAGCATTCATTTTCTTCTATAAATAAACTAAAAATATCTGATAATAACATCGAACGGCGGGCGTGTTATGCAATCTTAATGCAGTTAAACAGCATAAGATTACATTATAACAGTGTAATAGATATTCTCGAGACCTTTAACCTCTTCATATGTTATTAATTAAGAGTATTGATTACAATATCAAAATATCCATAATATAACCTTTATATAGCTACAAGTAAAATGAAAGGAAAATATGAGCTGCGACAAAATTATCGAATATATTTTTAGTTATTGAATTTATCTATTGAAAAAGGACATACTAACAATATTTTTAAAGTGTTAAAGAGAAGTATTATTAATATCTAAAAATAAAATATTTCACGAATGAAATTATATACTTAATTACACAAAATTTTATATAAAACAATTGATAAACTTTATTTTAAAAATAATATTAAATCTAATATATTAAAAATTATATAAAATGGATGATATTTAATGAAATCTTTAGGAAAGATTATTTTCGAACTTATAATCTATTTAATCAAAAAAATAACATGTACAATATAATTTTGAAAAGTATACCCCAACAATGAATAAATTTAGAAACGTATTTATGATCGTCAGCTAGAATTTTCAAGGCGAACATCACAAGCGACTTTTTGTCAATACGAAGAAGTCAAACCGAAAAGAATCGATGTGAGTAATTAGAGCGGAAGTTCATTCACGAGCAATTTATTACATCTTCATGCGATCGTACGGGTCACCGTAAAATTTTTACCTGTCATACAATACTTTAGTGTGTGCGAGATCGCGTAGTTCAGGATTAACTTGGATACACATTTACGATATGTAACATGCGTTAGAACATCCATATACGTGGAGGTGAAAAGCCTAGCATGCTGACTCGCGATAAAAATAGAGCATTTGTTTTCGCAACGAACGTCGAATGTAACAAATGATGATTGATATTTTTTCATCGGTAATCTGCAGTTTTCCTAACAATTCCCTTCGATAAATTGCGATCATACATGATATAACTCTGCTAGATTTCAATGCTACACAGTACGTTTCAGTTGTATTGTGCTAATTGACAGAATAAATTGTTTTGCATTGTGGAAGATTACAATATGTTCTATTTTAAATATATTGTTTTCAAATGGGTGTGCTTGCTAATTAGGAATTCTGCATAAGAACGCTTTGGCTTTGAAAGCGCCTTTATGCAACAGGATATGCTGAAAGTAATATAACGTCCATTAACAATTTAAATGATTGCTCATTTGCAAACGATTTTGCATATAATAATTGAAACGTACCATAAAGTTTTGAAGTATAAATAAAAATAATACATATTGTGAAATATCGAGAAGTAAAACACCATTTACTAACATGTGTGTGTTGATTACTACAGACACAAAGTAAAGTACGCAAATTGCTACTATAAAAATGAGATTAAACATATTTGTGCAAAGTTAATTAATACTTTTAAGCAACAAACATTATCAACAACCTGTTTACTGATTAAATTTAACAAAGAAGAACAATTCGTAAAAAATTTGGTTTCTTCATCTTAAGCATGCGATTATCTATAATCACGAAACGTGAAGTTTAATACGTTCAGGAAACATCTTAAATAAAATCGCAAGGCTATTAAGAAAATTAACGAGATTGAGATTAATAGGATTTAATCATTAGAAAATAGTATAATGCGTTATAACAAATATATGCTTCTTCAAATTCTTGTTTTTATACTCTTGAAGTTATAGCGCAAAAGAATATTTTCCTTGCAAACATGGGGCTTCGGAATTCGCAGATAGAGTGCAGAGAATGATGTAATAAAGAACTTTGTTTTGAGAATATTTTCCGATAAAATGAAGTGCACTTGCCAGGATCGCATACCAAGTCTCATACCAGGTGTACTATTTGAAAATTTAATCCGCGCGTAACAATAAAATGTTTTAAATGTAGTCTCAAATATCAAAGGTCTGATATTTAAAGCAACAAAACTTTTTGTTGCAATCAAAATTGATTGCGTATTTTAGATATATATACTAGTAGAGAATATAGACATTCGAGACACAACTGATTAGTTTACATTTTGATTGACATTCGCGTTCATTTTATACTTTTAAAGCTTCTTATTTAGATAATTCACATTTTAAATGATATTTTTTAAATACTAATGATAAGTTTAATATTTTGCATATTCAATGTAATCTCCAGTGTATTTTATCGATTATACGAGAAATATAATATTTCGTTCCAGTTCAACGTAAGTTTCTCTCGGAGAAGGAAATTTCTCCGAGTACACCGAGCATTAGACTCGTCTGGTCTCTGGACAATGTGAAACCTGTACCTGGTTGTGCCCATACCGTCGCGATGTCTAATTTAAAGCTGCCCAGCGTTAGATTAGCGCGCAAGAGATTCCGCGATTGCTGCACCTGCGTATTATTAAAAGATGTGCTGTTTGAGCTATTGTCTCATCTCCTCTCATTTGCTTTCTTATCTTGATCGTCAAGCATTTCATCTGTCGTCTAATATTCATTCGTCGGTTATAATTCCCAAACGGAATTTAAATGTTCTTTGGTTAAGCCCATTTCCAATAATCGATTTCCGATATTTATCTATATGTACCCATTGAATGTAATTGCAAGCGACAAAGATGTAATGGAGCGAAATTATTCACTATTATTCAGCGCGCATTTATCGCGTGACTAACTGCGTATTCCAAATGTACTAAATATATCAGGGCGAATTAATTAAATCTTCTGAGTTCTAAAGCATAAATTAATACATGCGAATAAACTCACCGACAGAGTAATAATTTTATCGAAGAGCATAACAGGCGGCATGTGGAAATCGAAGACAAAATACTGAAAATATAAACGAAAGAAAATAATTAGTAGATACGAAAAGATTCGTTAATACATAAATAATAATGATAATAATTTTTTTTCGGAAATAATCTCATTTCTCCGAAACAATCGCAATTTTTAATAATTCGAGAGAGCTACGAAAAAAGCAAAGGCTCTGTAAAAAGTACCATTTATCTCATTTCATTAATATAGTAGTATTGTACCCAAATTCATGTCACATAAATCCGATAATTAAACAATATGGTCTGTATGCAGAACGTGCTTTTATCGATAAATGCTTGCTTTTATCTTTTAAATTTTATAGTATGTATATGATATGAACTACATCAATAGTATGTTGTAACGATAGGCTAAATTGCGCACAAAATTGTTATAAGAGTGTTCTGAATATGGGTCTATCACCGGTATTCATCATCAGTTCTTATTTTAAAACCATCTTAAAAACGTTTTAAGTCAATAACTAATACGGCTCTTGTGATCGACTATAGTTAAGGCCATAAATATAAGAACCAATTATGAATATTGGCTTATATTTGCTTCTTACTTCGTTGTAATACGGGCAATTTGTGGACTCCTTGACGCTTGTATATTTGCGTTGATCTCCAATTTGTACGCAGACCACTGGATCCATATTGAGACCGGCGAGTTGTCGCGCTTCTATGATAGTAACGCAGACTTGATAATCTTGAGCTTTTAACACGCTCTGCCAGGTATCGCTCGTCTGTGAAACGAGGAAAGTTCGCGTTGATTTAACTCAATTTAAAGCTTGAATTGTGAGGCACAGAATATGAAATGGCACGTGTCGTTGAATTCTGAGAAGGAAGTATTGCTTTACATACAATGCTTTCTGTAATCTAACGAAGAGAAAGAAAATATGCCTTCATCATATTTCAACTATTTTAATTCTCTTATGTAGTGATTCATCGTTTAAAATTATTGTATTTAATCAGAGAGTAATGTGATACGTTTTGAACGTAATAATAAATCCAAAAAGATTTTAATTTAAGAAATTATTAGGAAAGTTTACATTGACGGATCGAATTTAAGAAAAATTTTCTGCACAAAAATGTTTTCTTTTTATGTAGCTTAAAGTGAAGTCATGTATCTGTTCGTATAAAGGAAATTCTATTATTTCGTTTCTCTTAACATTAGAAGCTCTGAATAAAATTTCAGTAACCGTATATTTGAAACGATCATTTAACTTTTTTTGCTCAGTGCGTCGCGTGCCGTTTTAGCGAGCGGTCGGTGTCACGTGTGATGTTGACATGTCTGACTTCGACGATTACATCCCTATCATTGTCATAGATTTTCACACCTGTCATGCATTGCGACGGTTCTCATTTCCTGTTCGGATGCGTTGTCAGCACTTGACTATGTTTCTTAACATCGGTTTGATTGCCCCATCGCATATACAACATTAAACTACGTCGAGATCCATCACATTTGCTGATTTCCGCGTTAAAAATGTTGCGTCACTGAATGTTATCGATTTATTATTATTTTTTTGTTGTATTCTTTTATGTCTTTTATATTATATTCTTTTTACATCTGAGGAGGGCTCAAACCAGCAGCCGAACTTTTTCGCCATTTATTTTGTTTATTTTGTTTATACATAAAGAGTCTTTACACCGCTGTTATTTAATTTTTTTTATTTTAAGAAAAATGAAAAAGCATTCTTTAGCTTTGGATAATAATAAGAATAGTATTGTACTTTCCTTTGATCTTAGTCGACAACTACATTTCCTTAGCTTCATTTGCTCTCTTCTTTTTTTGACTGCTATCTTTGATCTATATATACATTGTGATCTTTTGAGTACGCAGAATAAACTTATCAACTTTTATTATATATAATTTTTTATTTTTTGAAACAATGGATTTTAAATTTGTAGTGTGATCAATTAAGATCCGTGTTTTTTCCTCAGTCTGAGGAATATCATCAATAATCGATTTTGCACAATGGTAATATGTAATATTTGATCTATGATAAAATTGTTATAAATGTAACATGTAATCTTGATGTACAGTAGCGAAAGTATATATCTCATTTAAAAATTTTTTTGAGAATAACTTGGTTTAAAGTGCATCAATCTCTATTACAATATATTATATTTTGATGGTAAGTATAGCTTACTAGACAAGTGATTTTCATCAAATAATAAAAATAATAACAGGTAAAAAATGAATTTTATTTAAAAATTAATTATTAAAAATTAATAAAACAACTAAAATTAATTTTATTTGAAATTGCAAAAGTAAGTTAAATTGAATAATAAATAATGATAGAATAAGACTACTGATTGTGCCTAATAAACAGAGCGTAGTAAACAGAGCGCAAAAATTAAAAATTAAATAACAAATTTTGAATTACCATAACAAGTCTAAATGCTAGCAATATTATGAAACACTAATTATTAAAACCAGTTTGTAATTGTAAAACAAAAGAAACAAAAAAATACGATTTTATGAAAATCAATAGAGGTTTCAAAAATCATGGTATATCTTGTCAAACTTCGTACATGTATCAAATAAATATAAAATATTTTTAGAGACAACTCTCACTTCACGTAAAATGATTACGTGCACGTGCGAAATGTTAATATCTTCTGCAATACATCTTGCTTAGATGACTATGATACTGAAACCGGTTGTTGCAAAAAGAAAATACAAATAATTTTGTATAAAAGTTTCTCTCGCGCTCTTCTTTCGTAATTTAAGTTTACCCTTTTAAGATCGATCGACTTCAATCTCATTGAAAGATAATTGCGTCGTCATTTACGGATAATTGCTGCGTCAGTGTTATCGTAAAATGCTTAATACAATTTGCTGTGACGTTTTGAAATTACTTTATTATGCAAGAGCTGCGTTTCCTCTAGAAACATCCATTTGACAATATTCTTATCAGAACAAAAAATAAAGAGTAAGTAACATTCTTATTGCAATACCTTATAAGGTTCAAATAAGTAAAGATATAAACGTTAAATAATAATATAAACTTTTTTTTATGGAAAATATAATATAAGAAAAAGATATTAAATACACAATTTGTAATATACCAAAAAATAAAATAAATATGTATACAAAACTTCTGTTTGATACAATAATTATTTTTAAATTTTTGTGTTTTCAATGTGCTATTATGTAAGATACATATTGCTCGGTTTACAGTAATAAATCAAATTCTGTATTTAACATTCTAATTAACATATGTAGCGTGGCGTAAATCATTAATCATTAGAGATATTATACAGAGATATTAGAGATATTATACAACCTTAGGCTTGGATCTCTTGGCCGGTTTTACAACTACTTCCTCCTGTTCAGGGTTGGCGCTTAGCTGACTGTCATTATCGGACGCACTTGTTTCGAGGGATGTCATAGAATTCGTTCGTGAAGGCTCATTTGAAGTTGGACAGCTAGAGTCCCGTCTATCAAGGAGTTCTCTCGTTTCCGAGTTGCTGTCACAAGATCGAGTACGTGGGGGTCTCTGCTTTCCCAATTTCAGCAGGGATCGCACGCTTTTCAAAGTGGTACTCCTAAAGGAAATGGATCCATGAAGGAATCCAATATATAAATATACCAGAGAATAAACACTTTTCTGAAGATCAAATACTGTTAGAAATGTAGAGACAAGATGGTTTCTAAAAATCAATTATATTATGCAATTTGAAATTGATTAAAATACATAATATAGTGTAATTAAAAAATTAATTTAAAATAATATTTAGAATAAATATATATATAGTTTTTTATTTTACCTTTCATATTTTTTTGCAACATTTTATTGTTTAAAATTGCAAGCAAGAGAGAGAGAGAGAGAGAGAGAGAGAGAGAGAGAGAGAGAGAGAGAGAAATAAAATTTTATTAAACATTTTTAAAAATTTATTTTCTGATTTAAGTATGTACTAATATTAGTAGAAACAAATTTATTTTTGGTTTTATTTCTTCGTATTATTTTTCGCAACGTAAATATAACTTTTCTCTTTTCCAGGTAACTCGGAAAGTGAGTTTCTAGCACCTTATATTGTTTCCGTCAGGCTTCTTACCGTTACACACCGAGAACTTCGGTGATCCTGACCCGATGACGTCACTCACTTTAAGCCGCAATAACCGTATACACAATATACAATGGCGGATTAAAAATACCTGATATTACACAACGTTCAAATTAAATTTCAAATCTCTTAATCTATAAGCTAATTTTAACAAAATGAAAAATTTCGAAAAAACAATAAGTTTTTAATTCTTACATATTGTTAAAGTAGTTAAAACAAAGCGAATATAAAGAGATAATTGTACTACTAGGATGTTTAATATCTTTAAACAATGCTTACATTTGCAAATTATATTTTATGTTTTATTTTATCTCATTTATTAACATTTTATAAAATTATTAAAAGCTTGGAAAAGTAAATTTTAAAAACTCAAACACAAAATTACAAACCCAGCAGGCAATTTTGTTTGAATTTTTGAAACTTACTTTTTCAAGCTTTTAATAATTTTATAAAATGTTAATAAATGAGATAAATAAAATATAAAATATAATTTGCAAATTCTCTCTTTTCTGTAATTTGTTGATGGAAACATTTGTTGTACTACTAGCTGAAACGAGGATGAAATTGATGAGGGATTCGGGTCTCATGATATGTTGCATCCGTATACTGCTCCTAGCACCGATCCTTGTCGATTATAACAAGGGGAAACCTGTGGGCGGTTTTGCGAACGAGGATATGTCATAGGCATGTACGCGTATGGACGATCATGAGTTACATTCGATTACGTCCTCGCATTGAGAGGCAGTGACAGGAATTGCCATGGCATTCCCAGTAGAGTTTAATCCTCTTGCGAGACATAAAAAATAGCTTTCTTTACAACGTGTCTGGATAAGATCCATAGTAATACCTACATGGAGTAATATAAGCGCCATAGCTTCTTTTTATTCTGAGAAGGTAAAAGAAAATAGAAAAATATGAGATCAATTTAATAAGATCAAAAAAATTTTGCAGCAAAAGTTATTCGTTACGAAGTTGCTTGAAGTTTTAATGACATTATTTATTGTATAATAAAAAAATATTAAAATTTTATAATATTATTTAATTTTTTTTTCTTTATCTCTTTCTTCTTCTTTGTTGTCCAAAAAGTTTTTCAGATATTATGCTTTTCGATTATGCTGCTCACAATTAATACTTAGTTTTGTAACGTTTATATTAAATCTGCTTGAATTCAATGCCTCATAATTTACATATTTGTCCTGTTCAGCTTTTGATTTATTATTTTTATGTTATTTTACTTTATTTTTATTCTATTGCATTTTTGGTTTATTTCTATTATACCTTTAATATTTATGTCAAAACAATATCTTAATGTACTTCATAAATCTCAATTCTTAAGAAGAATTTCTTATCCTGATATGCTTAAATTGATAACGCTGCATCATTAGCATTATCATCATCATCATTTCTCTCTCTCTCTCTCTCTCTCTCTCTCTCTCTCTCTCTCTCTCTCTCTTAATATTAAAAATAATTAAAAATTTCAGTTATATACAGATATATATAAACAAAAATATATATATGTGTGTAATATCATGTAACAATACTAATATTTGTGGTTAGTATTTTATATTTCTTGTCTTACACCAATATCTCATAACAATAAATCACCAATTTCGTATTTTACATATCGCCCAGGGTACACATGTACAAAAATAATATTATGTATCTCGCGTTTGTCTCTTCTGACCTTTCTATGGTGAAAAGGTTCGCCTAGATCGTCGTGATAATGAACTTTAACACATCACCAACATCATCGACACTATCGAACGGTCTATCACCCTTATTGAGCAATCTTTTCACGTTTCGGTGATGTTGATACGTAATAACACATAGTGCTTAATAATGTCGAGAGCTGCCGCTTAATTAGTAATTAAAGTAGTTGTAGGAAATTTGTAAAAATTGCATTTATGAATCTCTTTAATTAACAACTCATTTAAAATTTATTAAAATTTTAAAATTTTTAATGGAAATTTAAGTGCAGTAAAAAATGAGTATAATTTGTGGAATATGAGAGTAAAAAATAAATTTTAACGAAATATTAATCGGATGCAAAATTCTTGGAAAAATGAACGTTAAGCAAACTTTCTAAAAATATATTAAATTTTTTTATAATTTTCATCATTTAAATAAAAAAAAATTAGATGCAGTTTATACATCTCGACGTACAGGGTATTTCAGAATTGTGACACAAACTTTAAAAGATGGTACAATACATCTCATTTAAAAAATCAACTTTTGTTAAAAAAAACTGTGTCTTCTGACACATTTTTAAGCAATTATGTATTTTATGTTAGATCAGTACCTTCGTATCTAATCGATTGCACAGCAACACTGAGCGTAACGCGCTTTACAATATTAATCCATATTTTGTTTTTTGTTTTTGCAGAAATAAAATCAAAGGTTCAGTATTGTCAGATATCATGTGTGACCGGACCCGTAACTCCTTAAAAATGCGTCGGAGAACACAAATTTCTTAATTAATTTTTTTGAAAATCTATTATCCCCTAGAGAGTTTATCCCATAGGGAAACACTCTTTAAAACACTCTCTGTATTAAAAATAATGTAATAAAGAAAAAAATAATTGGGTCAATAACATATCAATTATTTTACAGAAGTGGCTAAAAAGTATGTGATTATAAATTTCTGCTAAATAAGATATGTTTTCGTAGTTTTTTACAATTCCGAGTTCAAACGAAATAAGAAATAGTAAAATGTAATTTTTATGCTTTTGCTGATATATGAAAGTAAATGTTAACGAAGATACATCACGGCGTAGATGTCTCGTGAAAATGAACATGAGATGCGAAGCTCCTGAATATAATACGTCATGTAGTTTATTTTCGTGCAGTTCTAAGCTTAAATTAACAGAAAAATTGCATTTAAAAAACAAGGTTCAAGATAGAGGTTTCATGTTTCGCAATTATATTTATGTATGTATCTATGTAAAATCATAATTATGATTTCCGCATATATAATAATTCTTGATTCTTTATATTCTTATAAGCGCGTGAAAATACGTGTTAATATTAATTTTTAATTATTATTTTATTATAAATGATTGTAGTTATTTAACGCAGTTAACGCTCGATTAGTTCTTCTTTTAATTTTTGTATATAAAATCAGCAGTAATAAGAACTTACCGTAATTGTAATTACGTTTTGCATGGTACTTGGAATATAAATACGTGATTTAAATAATAATTTTAAAAAAGAACAATCTGTATTTCAATTTACAATTATTATGCATGAATTTTATATTGAATAGCGATAATTAAACTGTGATATAATTAAACGTAACAAAGACGTAGCGATAAAATTAGAAATTTTAATGGACAATTGTGATTAAATATATATAGTATTACAATACTATGCATTATAAAGATTATGCATTTCGCGGGTTTTCTCCGTGTCCAGATCCATTCTTGGAATGCCAACGTTTCGTGAACCTTGCAGTTCACTTCATCAGGGCTAGGAGCAGCCTGAAACTGAGATGTTCCTCCGGGCCGTTCCTTTTTACATTATTCTTCTTCTTTCTCTTATAACAATCAATTTTATAAACAAACTTCAGAAGCGGCGATGGGCTCTCCTATTTCTCCTGTAATCGTCAACATCTTCATGACGCATTTTGAGAAAACATCCAAAAAACCAGAAGTTTATTTTCGTTATGTAAATTACACATTCGTGATATGGAGACACGGCAGAGCCGTAAATTCCTTATTTTCCTTAACAATTAACATCCAAATATCCACTTCACTATAGACATACAGGAAAACGGAAAACTCCCCTTTCTAAATCTTCTTGTCTCTAAAAAAGCTGACGGTACCTTAAGCCATCAAGTGTACAGAAAATCAACACACAGATAGATACCTACACGCCAAGTCGCACCAGCATCCAGCACAAAAACAATCAGTAATCAACTCACTTGTACATAGAGTTTTTACCATCTCTGACAAAGAACATCTACAGACAGAACTCAACTACCTAAAACTAGCCTTACAGTAAAACGACACGACAAAAAAAACATAATCAAAATAATCAATAAACATGCAAACAAAACAACGGCGTCTGATACACAACCAGACGAAAGAATCCTATCTATTCTCCCATATGTCAAAGGAACAACAGACCAGATTGACAGGATATTAAACAAACACAATATCCGAATTATCTTCAAATCACTTAAAAAGATCAAGGACAAATCTTAAGAAATAATCCTAAAGACTTCCACTCAGCTCCGCAGGAGTATAACAAAATACCTTGTTCCTGCAAGTAAGTATACATTGAAGAAACATTGAGAGAATGGTCAACCTATGAATAAAAGAACACTAACGTGATGTTAGGCTAAAACACGGCACGCAGTCGACATTATCAGAACACCACATTGAAACAGAACATCAAATACTGTTTGACAAAACGATCACGATAGCCAAAATTATCATCATACTTTCCAAAAAAGTATAGAAAAGCCATAGAAATACAAAAATACACTAACGATCTAAATAGAGATAATGACAACATAAATAAAATATGGAAGATCATTCTTCCGGTTATTGAAGACCGACGAATTTCACCCACCTCTCTCCCGTCCAAATAATTCTCTTCTCCCCCCCCCCTCCTCATCACTCCACAAGCAGCGTAATATAAAAAGGAACGGCCCGGAGGAACAGCTCAGTATCAGGCTGCTCCTCGCCTTGAAATGGACTGTAAGGTTCACGAAACGTTGGCATTCCAAAAATGGATCTGAACACGGAAAAAATCCGTGAAACACATAATCTTTATATAGAAAGCACCCATGGAAACCTCAAGAATACTGTGCATTATAAAAAATTTTTTAAATAGATTTTTTAAATATATTTTTATGAATAAAAAATTTTTTCTATAAAATTTTACTCGCATATTTCTCGTTGGTTTAGTATTATTTATTGTTCATTTAATATTTAATTTCGTCCTTTTAATAGATTTATCAGTTTCCAAATAAATGTAATACACAGTCCAATATATGAATAATTTTAACATATATAGTTTGTGTTGGCCCCCTCGGCGGTGTACTCTCGTACATCTCCGAGAGTATATCAAATATGTTTTGATGTAATTTAACAGGAATGATGTAATGTAACTATATCTCGTAATTATGTTTATATTTCAAACACAATTTGAGTAAGAAAGAAAATGGTTATGAAATAGGTGAGAGGTTGTGGAATACCACGATATCTGATATTGCTGTGCTGCAATCTCTGGGAGCAACCGTCAAAATTACTTCTTTATAATTTGCTTAAACATTATAATTAACATGACTACTATTTATTTAGTGTTTATTGTGATGTCATAAAAGCTGCATTTTAATTTTGCAGATAGAGAGTAATATTATAATTATGTTTAGGTAGAACTCTTAATGTATGTAACACTAATTTATATACAAAATTAATTTACAAAAAACTGAAGAAGGGAAAAAGATTATGGAATAGTAGTAATTTTGAAATGTATACTTGTATTAATTTTATAACTTTGTTCTAGCTTAGAAGTTGAACGTTAGCTTTTAAATAATATTGTATATTATTAAACTTTTCGTAACAAAGTGTGCAATGCATTCACTTGACACAAGACATTGATATATGTCTCTTGATATATGTATATTATTTCTACGTTATATATTAGATATTGGTACTTATACTGGGGCAAAAAATTATGAAGCATGACATTTCATTGTGTCTAAATAATAAATTGATCAATTTTAGATGAGTCATTATTACTATATGTCCAAAAAACAATGTTATTTCAACATTAATAATCGCCTTGATGACATTATTACAGAATGCAAATGCTGATGGATTTTGATTACACCAGCGAAGATAATTTTATGAATAAAGAATGTGCGTGACTTATTTGCATATTTTGAAAGTGGTGAGAGCTTAATTTGAACGAGAAACGTTTATAAGTTTTAACAAGATATGAATGAAATTGAGTAATATATGACTTCGTAAACTTTAAAAAGTCACATCTATATATAATAATTTGCAAATTGCTAAATTTATATTTTTGGTAGTTATAAGAAAATATATATTTCTTGGTTTTTTATGAATTTTTTTAAGAATAACAAAATTTTCATTTTACTTCCGTTCATTTTTAGAATAATTTTAATATTTTTTCAGTGTGCAGATATATTTTAATATTACATAAATAAAAAATGG